TCTTCAACCGCTAGTACACAGCCCCAGCCTTGGAGAAACTTTTTGTCGCCACCAGCAAAACACGGAGGCGCCGTGCAGCCAGGTCCGTTGTTGAAAAAGAAAAATCGGCGGCCTCCGAAGTGGTGCAGGTTCCGTGCTGACACCCGTGGGCCTTTATGTGGCGTACTGGTGCTTTAAGACTTTAAGATCGCGCGACAATCCAGGCCGGCCGTGGTCCTACAGGCCCGACGGTTCAGATTGTCGCGCAATCTGAAGATTTTAAGATCGCGCGACGATCTGGGCCATCTGCCCGGTACCGGTTGGCCAACGGCTCAGATTAGAAGTTTGCAGCCCAACGGAAGTTAAGGCTTCCAGGCCCGGGGAAAAACTGGTTCCAGGCGGGCTGGTCTCTTATTCGGCGCAGAGGCTCGTTTCTTTTCCCTCCTGCACATAGTGAACAAGGCAACACTCACGGACACAGTGTATAGCAACAACATGCATTCACCCGCCCGCCTGCCCGCACAAGCACACACAAACACACACACATACATGCACACATGCAAATGAGAGGGCAGACTCTTGGGGTTCAACCTCCTGATGAGTTGGTGAATGTCCAACGGAACAATCTGGCACAGTCATGCTTTTTTTGGAGTTTGTGTGTGTGTGTGTGTGTGTGTGTGTGCGCGCGCGCGCGTGAGAGAGAGAGAGAGAGAGAGAGAGAGAGAGAGAGTTTGCATCGGTCGTTGGCCTCCGCCATTCATGCATCACCTGTTGCATTTGTTTTTGCGAGCGAAGCCGCAACAGTTCATCAATACAGGTAAAACCACAGCATGAAATAAGGAGAGTATAGAACCGGCTGCCCCCATATGAGATAGCCAAACAAGAAATACAGGCAAAGTATTCCATTCGAAGCCTATGCTGATATCTCTGATGTTTGGGAGGCTATGTGCCTTGCTGAACCTCTAAATGAGTCCGGTCATAAAAATCGTTCCGATACCTTACAATTGTTGGACCAGTCCGAATTGAAACGGTTTCACCCAGTTATCCGACAGATACAGACATCAGGACTCAATCCCTAGACCTACCCGTTAACCCTGTACATTGACTGCGTGGTCCGCTGCGAGATTTGAACCCATGACCTGTCCCTAAACCCGCAGATCTGTTAGTAGCCCTTAGTTCTTGACCTGTAGACCTTGGTATTAGCAGTCTAGCGTCTCACCGTTAGGTCTAGCATAGGTACTTCAAGTCTCTACCTGACTCTTCAGTAGTGCAAGGGTCAGTCCGTAGGTTGTCCTAGCTGTTAGTAAGGGGTCAGTCAGCGTACTCTAGAAAGTCATAGGCCTAGTCCACCGCACTCAGTCAGCAAGGAGACCAGGCCACCTCGTCCAGTCAGCAATTACCAGGGGGAGTTCCACGCGGTTTGGGACTTCAGTCCCATGCGTTTTTGGCCACTCAGTCCCACGTGCTTTGGCCAGGGCTGGGGCAGTTCAGACCACCAACGACACGGTATAAATACAGGAGCAGCGTGCAGCCATTGATTCATTCGCCTGCGAGCTATGCGGAAGCGCTGCTGTAGCGACTTGTGCGGAGGTGGTCTGCAGGTGCCTGAGGCAGAAGTGGGCTGAGGAAGACGACGATGGCCATAGCCGTCAAGCTGCCGACGTCAACGGAGTGCACAGTGTGTGTGTGTGTGTATAGTGTGTGGACATTCAGGGTGGATCCTCGTGCATGTATGTGTGAGTGAGGGTGAGGTTGATGGTAGAGACAGTATCCGGTGCGGACTTCAGACAGTGTTCAGCGGCCATAGCCGCAAGTTGTAACAGTTGACCTGAGCTGAGTTTCTGGCCAGCGGTCATATCTCTGGGTTTTCTGTGTGGGCGCATGTCGCCAGTGCAAGTTCATTGCTAAATCCGAGTTTATGAAGTTGGTCTGCCATCAGTACATACATGCATGCATGTTGCAAGCGAGATTGAGACAAGTCTGATTGCAGAATGTATATTGTGGCAATAACTGTGCAGAGAACAGTCTAGACACGTGTAGATTGTTGAGTAGCGGAGTGAGGCCCTATGCCCCAATTATCCAGCCAGACAGGTTCAGTCACATCCGTCCGGATGGGTCTACCTGGGGGAGGTTCATTTTTTTAAAAAAAAAGCCCCCCCCCCCCCCCCCCCTCCCCCCCCCCCCCCCCACACACACAAAAAAAAAAAAAAAAAAAAGAAAAGAAAAGAAAGAGGGGATCTGCAGTAAGCGTTAGAGGAATGCAATGCAAAGTTGCAAACAATGTTTGGCGGAAGATTGTGCCAAACTACTCAACAAAATATAATGGCAAAAATTAAGAAGATGAAAAATGAAAATAAAATTTAGATTTTGATCAGTCGAAGTTGCCCCAGTCCCGTCCAGTTTAATCCATCCTGATTTCCGGCGCCTGAATATCCAGACCGAGACAACCAAACAGCTTAGTTCAAACTTCAGAGTGGATTAGAATCATTTAGAAGCTGAGATGTGTTTAACCATCCGTAAATAACCGCTTTACGATTTCATCAATTTATTCAATTGCGAATACACGATACATTTCTCAGCCAAAGAGTAGTTACTACTGTCTTCCCCCGAACATAATGCATATGCCTTGTATTCAAATATAAGGGCCGTTCGGATAGAACACATGTGCGTTGTATTTGAATAGAAAGCAACCTGTGCACTGTATTTGCTTATAGCGCATATGCGTTATGTTCGGGGGAAGGCAGTAGTTTATGTTTTGTAGTGTCTATTAAATGTTATCCATCCTACTGTAGAGATTATATCATTATACATTTAGACCCCAGATATGAAATTGATATTTCTCCTTTTTTTCCACCGGTGCGGGCGTAGCTGCACTGGCTGTGCTTGTCATATTTACTATATAGCATCCGGATACGGTGAACGTTGAACTGATCCCAATCTGAAACATCACAAGGAGGCAAGTGTTATGTGGTACTCGCTTTCTTTCACTTTCGTACTCCTAGCAATGAAGCGAATAGTGTCGTTTCCTCAGCATACCCCAGGCGTTCATTCCTGAGCTGAACTCCACCAGTGGCCATGGGATTGCTTAGTCCACATCCTGATCTATAGTGAACAAGGAAATTGGCCAACCCCTAGGGAACTGTGAAGACTTGAACCAGGCACCTTACTGGGGGCGGAATGGCGCACGCGCACTGCTGTGCACTGCTGATAAACCGATCTGAATGCTCACAACCGGCCAAGTTTGCCCCGACAGACTTTGGGTGCTAAGATCCAAAGTCTGAAGGGAAAGCGTAGTAGACTTTGAAAATGGTGCACCTCTATTTATATTGCATCTGCGTCATACGATGCTGATAATGCCGATGCACTGCTGTGATGGTGGAGGTGTAACAGTTACTGCCCGTGTAGTAGCTGGTCAGTTGCTAGGCTGATGATCAGGCATTGCTTGGCTGCGCTGCTGGACGTCGACCAGGGTGCTGTGCACGGAGGGCCTGAACATTTTGCCCAGGTGATGCAGTGAACCAACGGGTGCTGATGGTAATTTGGTATGTCGCATGGCAAACTGTTTTTCTTTCCCCCCTCTGTCTGAATGCTCTGCTGTATGCTGCGGTGTGAAGCAATAAAAGAGCCAGCTTGCTGCATGTTGCAACTTTGACAGTGGTGCCTGCTGATGAGGAAGTTATGGAAGAAGAGGAGAAGCAAGACGAGGATTGTGTTAACGAATTCATTAAATGAGCAGCAAGCAGAAGAAGAAGACTAAGACGACGACGAAGAAGAAGAAGACTAAGACGACGACGAAGAAGAAGAAGAGGAAGAATTATAATTAGAATTAGAAGAAGAAGAAGAAGAAGAAAAAGAAAAAGAAGAAGAAGCTTGTGGATTGTTGTTTCGAAAGTGTTTCTTAGACTGCTGAGCAGTTGAAAGCCCAATCAGAAGGTGTTTTTCATTTTCTTCTCCCTAACTACTGTATGAAGGGGTTTTGCTTCAACTATTTGGCGTCCCAATAGGCGTGATAATGACCTCCTGAACTGCTGAGTAATACCTCAGTTCTGTGTACCTCGATGTGGTTGGAACATTGGTAATGGATCAGGTGGTTTTGTGTGGAGTAACCTGTTCGTCACAAACAGCTGCTTTGCCTTCCTTTCGTGGTTGGCAGATAGGAAAGGATATTAAGTAGTGCAAATGTGGGCACACGGTTCTTACGTGAGCACACGGTTCTTACGTGAGCACAAGGACAGGTCTTACGTGAGCACAAGGACAGGTGTTGCGGTGGGGAACGAGTGCTGGTCACTGGAATTTCTACACACCCCTTTTCATAGTACAAAATGAAACGGCCGTTTCATCAGAATGTTACAATTATCAAAACATTTCAATCATTTGAAATATCACATGAAACTGCATAGAAGATTATAAGGGAAGTCTGTTTCAATTTTGGATCTGCTCATCTGGGTGGAAATGGGGTTGTTCTGGTCACAGTCTAGAACACACAATGCAACACACAGTACAGCGCACACGACAACACATGACAACACACTACAACACACTACAACACACTGCAGCACACTTGATGAGTCGATGAAAGTCCAACGAAATAGTCTGCCGCAGTCATGCTTTTTTTTTTGTGGAGTTGTGTATAGTGAACATGACAAAACACAACAACACACCCTGAGCCCTTACCCGTCAGTCAAATGCATCATGGGCAGATTGTTGGGGTTCAACCTCCTTCTGAGTCGGTGAAAGTTCAATGAAACGGTCTGCCGCAGTCATGCTTTTTCTTCTGTGGAGTTTGCATATGGCAGACATGACAACAAAACACACACACACACACACACACACACACACACACACACACACACACACACCCCACAAGAAGAAGAAGAAGATCTGGTTGATAAATGGATTGGGAATTTGGGAGAGAAATCTCTGGGAGATGGTGTGGCTGGTAGAAATGCTTAACATATTGTATTGTTTTCTCATTGTGATTGTTTTTGGTGTTTCTGGATCACCCTTGTGTTCTTCTAAAGACACAAGCAATCTCTACCACAGATGGGTGCCTTGGTGCTGATGGTTGTTGCAGCAGTGATGTTGACCATTGGCCAGGCAACACCTTCTGCTGTATCATTGACAGGACTTAATAATTTCAGAAAAGGTGCACTCTCTGTGCCGTCATTCTTAGCGAAGGTTCTTCTTGACACCAAGGCGCTCTACACTGGTGTCATCCCTGTATTGTCCGCTTCTGTGCTATCTGGTCTGGCGTCAACACTGTGCCAGATGGCCATGCAGGTTCGTCCTCCACTTCAATCGTTTACTTCACCACAATTTCTTTTGCTTTATAGTTACTGTGACCAAAAAAATCTTGTCTATTGTTGGTCTTTGATTGTGAAAAGATCTCTGTTTTCCATCACTGTATTCCTTTGTTGCTTTCCAAGGGGAAAGGACGTCACGTGCTGACCTTGTCTTTGATTACCTGATGCATATAAATGTTGTGAACCGGGTACTTGAGTTTGCTTTGAATGGGGGGGGGAGAGAGAGGGGGAGAGAGAGAGAGAGAGAGAGAGAGAGAGAGAGAGAGAGAGAGAGAGAGAGAGAAAGAGACCCCGAGCTCGTGTTCTGAGCCTGCCCCACTGGATTTTATTCGAAGGATGTGATCTTAGAGCTTGCTTATACAAAATGTACCATAAGTGGTAGTTTGACTTTTTTGGCTTGGAAGTCTTTCTGTATGTTTGACGACTTATTATTCTTTTCGTTTACTTTCTCTTAGCTCTTTTTTTTCTGACCGTCTGTTACAGCAGACACCAGCATAGTTCTTACTGATTGTCCGAGAGCTATACCACGTTTATCCTAGTATGCTGCAGCCAGACTTGGTCTGCTAGGCCAGGGCTGGTCTGGTCCTAGAATAGAAACACCAATGTCAATGCGGCGCTCTACAGCAACACCTCCTAATTTATTCGGTATACTACGAAGAATTGCATAAATAGGTAAAAAATACCATTCTGGCACTATGTGAGCTGGAGTTGACATAGGATTTGCAGGTATATAATTGTCAGGATGTCCCAATACGTTAGGTGCATAAAAAACAAAAATGGACAAAAATATTGCAATCTTCACCCGAATAGAACGGCCGGTCATTATAGCTGCATCCGGACTGAAAGTTGCCCTACAAACAGCTATAATGACCGGGTGTTCTATTCAGGTGAAGGAGGTAGGTGAGGTCCGGTTTGGTCCTAGAATAGACATGCCATTCTATTCTGAGATCAATTGTATCCCGAGGTCATACAAGTCTGTAGCTGTAGCTGTTGCTGGGCTTTGTCAACTACAGGCATAGGTGGACTGCTGTCTATATCTGCAGCTGCAAGTGTGCAATACAGCTGCGACGGCCCCGACTCTGAGATCAACCCTCTTTCACTGTTATCCCCTTGTCGCACCTTCCTCCTGCCGTCTTCACCTAAACCGAACATACAGTCGTATAGCTGTATCTGGGCCAACTCTGTCTAGATACAGTGGTAATGACTGGGCATTCTATTTGGGTGAAAAGGCCAGCGCAGTGGGCACATCCCTTGATTTCCAACACCCTCAGATTTCTCAACAAATACCCATTCGCAACATCACATCCATCTGCTGAAACCCTCTATGGGATGTGATAGGGAGACGAGTATGTCGTAAGTGCAGCTGTTCTACAGACTAAGATGTTGCTCTCTGTGAGTAACAACTGGAGTGCACTAAAGGTACTGGTCATGCGGACTGCTTGTTTAGTACGAGGTTTACCAAATTAAGTTCTGCATTCATAATGGAAAGGTATCCTGTTTTGTCATTTTGTAGAGAGCAGCGCTCCGAAAGAACGTCAGGGTGCAGTTGGCTTGTTAGGCTCTACGATCATAGTGGATGCCATTCCTTTCTGTGATCATCATTCTGTAAAGAGAGGTGCTAAAAAAACGCTCAGGCTGAACCCTGGGTGCTGAGTTGAAAAAGAAGATCGCTTCTTGTTCCAGGCAATCAGTGAAGTTTTAACTGTGGTGGCCTGTTGAACTGACCTTAAACTGCCACTACGTTTCACAGTGTTGGGAAAAAGTGGGAACATCACCTATACTGCAGTCTTCGGGGGCTGGGCCCAGCAGCGGCTGCCGTTAATAAATTTCACTGACGGCCGCTGCTTTGTTTCGACCTCCAGAAGGAGCAGGGACCCTCCCTGCGGCCGATGTATGGCAAACGTAGTGGTCCGTCAGTGCTCCATTTTACATGTTTGCCGGCAGGGTTGCAACCCCGGACGGTCGACAGCCCTCGACTGGTCGGCTGCCGACCCGCCGACGGATCGGCTGGTCAGCACCTACCAGTCGGCGGGCGTCGGCACCTTGCAAAAAAATGAATAAATAATAAATAATAAAAATAAATAACTAAAATTTTTTGGGGGGGTCCAGAACCCCTAATAACACCACCAACACCCCCATAGCGGCCCCCGATACCCCCATACACCCCCCCCCACCCCCAAACCTGCCCAAACACCCTCATTACCCCCCCAATACCCCCTATATCACCCCTATATCACCCGTATACCCCCCTATAGCCCCCTTATACCCCCTGTATACTCCAACCCCAACCCCCCCATACCCTTCCCCATCCCCAAAAGTTTCTCAGCGGATGTGGGCTGTACTCAGTGGATGGTTGTTTTTTTTTCTGACTGGTCGGGAGACCACCGACTGGTCGGGAGACCACCTCTATTTGCATTTGGTCCAAAAGTTCCTGCTTGTGTTTCCGCTGGAGTAAATGGTGTGTGTTTGAAATAAGAGCTTTGTCATTTTCAGTTGTGAGTTCGGGCTCTCCCTTGCCTTGGCTTTTTCCTTTTTTTTCCCTTTCTGTTGGTGTCCATCATGGCAGAGGTGATGATCAATTGGTCTGACTTGACTTGTTGCAGAATAAAGGCCGCAACACCTACCTGATGACGGTGGAGATGTCGCTGGCTGGGAGCTTGGTCTTGCTGTGCAGCATGCTCCGGTCCCCGGATGGGGATAAAATCGTTAAACAGGGGTTCTTCTATGCCTGGGAGAAAACCACCATGGTAAGTGCTAAACCATGTGAAAGATGACTGCTTGTGTGTGGGGGAGGGGGGTTACCTGCCAAATCGGGTGGGTATGGGCCTGTGCAGATCATGCTTGAAATTGGAGGGTGGACCACACATAAAGGTAACCAGCCTCTGCATCGGACACCACATGTATTTTTTTCTTCTGGGATCGTCTTTTAGGAGGCAATTGTTGGAGGAGGTTGTTTGAGGGGAGAAGGATATTATTTTATGGGCATTGCCGTCTCTCTCGAGTTCTTCGTCATCTACCTCACTTCTTCTTCTTCTTCTTCTTCTTCTTCTTCTTCTTTGAATGATTGAGTTGTGAGGCCTGCTTCTTTATATACCTCCTCGCCGCAGGTGTGAGTCAATTCTCTGCCCACAGTTTATATGTGTGCAAAACAGAAAGAAGCAAAACACAATCGAACTGAAACAGGGGATGGCAACAACATATTTTGCTCTGCTGGGCTGCTGCCCACAGTTTGGCTGATAGCAAGTCCGAGAATGTTTAATTCTTTTTTATTTTTGAGTTTTCAGTTTTCTATTCGCGAACAGTCATTTTTTTTTATTTTTAAAAGTCGTAAACACTGCCCCTTACATCACTTGTGCACTCAACGCTTGCCTCCGTTATGGCCAGAGACATTGGCATTGATTACTTCGTTCATGGGAAAAATTTACCCCTTCTCCACTGCTGCTTCCTTTCTTCCTGTCTTTCATCTAGGTCCATCAGGATTCCAACTCAGGTCTGTATTTCAACGATTGATGGGTGTGCCACCTGAGCTATAAGGCTCATTGCTTTCTTTCTTCCTGCTCCTCACCAGAATATAAAATTTCCCTCTTTGCTGTTGATGCTGCGTCCTGTTGCACCTCTTTGCTGGTCCTTTCAGCCTTCGCAAACTGTCTGATATCCTTGTCAGTTTTTTGAGTTGCTAATGAGGCCAGGATTGGTGTTTCTCTTTTCATTGCACTGGCATCTCGCTAGTCTCTTTTGGGCTTGTTCACCAGCTTTCCACATCTTTAGGCTGTTCTCTGTTCGCGCTGACTTCCACCATGTCTCCTTACGAAGGATCTATCACACCGATCCTTGGTGGCCACTTCGGCGCAGTTCAGGGTCTCCCTTGTGTTATGGAACTGATCTATGCTTTATGCCACAGGGAAAGAGCTTGTGTTATGAAACTAATCTGTGCTTTATGCCACAGGGAAAGAGTGCGAATGATCCTTGTGTCTCAGATTTTGTATTGTATGGTATGCATGTTGTCGTAATGCTTGATCTTTTCTTGTTGGCAGATCCCAGTTGTTTCTAATGCGTTTGGCGGTATTATGGTGGGTGTTGTCACCAAGCATGTCGGGGGTGTGAAGAAGGTAGACTCCCTCAACTCCCGAACCTTGGTGCTACCGGAAAAGCCAGGATCATGTAGGAGTGGTTGTGTATGGTCGGCTATTTTTTGGGGGGGGGGGCGGAGGTGTGGACATTTTGAACGATACAGGGAATATTTGATGTTAGCATGGCCCCTGCACAAGGGGGAAAAAGAAAAGAAAAGCTATGCTTCATCTTGTTGTTTTGCATAGTACACTTACAGCTCAACGTCGACCACAGAGAGGGTAGGAACTTAAATCCCTTTTGCTTGCTTTGTCCTTTTGGACATTGGTTGGGAATTCGAAAAGGATACATAGAAGATCAGCATGCCCCGTGCACATCCAAGGACGGTACACATAAATTGAGAAATGGCCCACATAAAAAAGAAAGGAAATCCTTTGTCTCGGTCCAGAGCTGATATTGGGAAACCGAAAAGAGAAGTCGAGAGCTGACATTGTCTGCAGTCTGATCCTCACACCAGGCATGTTGCATAAGAAAAAATTGCATTCCTAAAGCACTCTGATGCAGACATCTTGCATAAGAAAAATAGCATTCCTAAAGCACTCTACACGTATTGAGGATAGAGGCCAGGACAACTGGTCCAACGACTGCGCAAAGTTATCTGAACCTGGTCTGGATGTCCGTGGTATCGGTGGTAATTTACCGTGGATGTTGTATCTGTCAGGCCTGCCTGTAGGAGCTCATCTGAATTGCTGCCCTATGGTGTCCCTTTGTGAAGACGCTATCATGAGATTGTAAGGAAGTCGAATGGTGGATGTAGCATGACCTTTAGGAACCTCCTCTGAATTGCGATCCAACTAAATATCTTGATTGCAGTTGGCACCGCTATAACCATGGTTGCTGCAATATGAACTTTATCGCCACGCGCAGTTGTGAATTGTCCCTTCGAGGCCGGTTAGTGCGACAACATTTTCTAGGCCCGGGAAAAGAAATTGCACCGTGCCGTTTACGTTGGGCCCCTGTTTTGTTTTCTGGGAACCACGGATTATGGCCTTGCTTGTGCCACATGGGCAGGACTTGCACGCATGAAATGCGCCACAAGTACGATGCAGAGTGAAAGTCTGCAGTTGACATGGACATAGCACCGTTCAGATGTATGAATTGCAGTCATACCGAAGCCCTGGCAAAGAGACTGTACCATGTAAATGCATTGAAAGTGAAAAACTGGAGTTGGGTTTGATGGTCTAGCTCAGATGGTACACCCAATGAACTGTTGAAACACAGACCCAAGCCAGAGGCGAACAGAGGATTAAGAGAAACTATGCGGGTATGCACTTATTGCCTGCACTTTCTTAATTTGGCCTGCAATGCGAGCTCACGGTGGCACTGCCAACAGAGAGGAGTGTGTGTGGTTGTTTCTGAGACAACTGCTCACTTTTGCGGCGGACCTCCAGATCGGCCGTCCAACAATGCAACTGAAAAATTGGAGGCTGTGCGGTAACCGTGCTGGTCACAAAAACGGGACTAGGTTCGAACTTTGTAAAAGTGTGGAAGGTTAAGAGCCTGGTTGGTACTGTGCAAACGCAGGAAAAGTGTGAGAGGCTAGCCCTGTTAAACTGATGAGCGAAGGGGCTCACAGGAGGTTATGGGTGGGGGAGGTGAAACGTGTGGTCCCTGCTGGATGCAATATCTTTGTATCTCATCTAGCAGGACTTTATGCATTGTCGGAAAGAAGTCCGTTCTCTTTTTATTTGATGTTATGATCCTGGATATCTCTCAGTGCAATACTCAAAGAAAGACAATGCCATTCAGTTGTAACTGAAATGAAAGAGATTTAAAGGAGAAATAGACAAAGGAGGGAGAGGAATGGAGACTGGAAGAAGAAGAAGAAGAAGAAGAAGAAGAAGAAGAAGGAGAAGAAGAACACAACTAAAAAGCAATGAGGCAATTCCATTCAGTTCTAACTGAAATGAATTGATTGAAAGGAGAAATAGACAAAGGAGGGAGAGGAATGGAGACCGAAAGATGATGAAGAAGAAGAAGAACAGAAGAAGAAGAAGAAAACCAAAAAGCAATGTCACTCCTCCCTCATCTCACGACCAACTTCCTCCTCCAACATCTCTTCCAACATCTTATTAATTAATAATAAATGATAATAGTAACAGCAACAATGAGTGAATGGACCAGAGTCAATGTCCAAGTCCGCCACCGCCTACTTCTTGGTCAAGCCGGTGGTTATGGCGGACCATTGGAGCCCAGCTCTGATGTTCAAAGGACAAACTAAGGCTACTATGCCTCTCCCACTATGGCTGTCATGCCACATTCCACCTTCCCTTATCACCCGGGATTCACCCCACTGGGGGGGTTCCCGGTGGAGCACCAACCAAGAAGATGAAGATGCAGACCACCATAGCCGAGGTAAGCTCCCTTCTTCACTCTCCTCCTCCTCCTTTCTCTGCCTTATCCTTATTCTTCCTCCTTCCTCACTTCTCCATAGCCATGTCTTCTTCATTCTTCGCGTTGGTGACCTCCACTATAGCCAAATTGGGGCCGAGTTCCGTTTCCTTCCTCCAACCAGCGCCTCACCCAACTGGTGAGCGCCTCCAGCAGGCTCACGACTTGCAACTGGGAGAATGAGGCGGAGTGCTTCACTGCCTCTACATGTATACCGCAGCCAAACTCCGCCTCGGCACTTTCGGGGGTACCTGGCCTCTTCCCCTGTTTTGGCGGAGCATTGCAGCCTGATAAGCTTCTGCAGTCTCATGTTCCAGGCCCTTTCTGATCGGTACCCCCCTTCCCCCTCCAGCCTAACTCTTAAGTCTACTGAGCGTCAGAGCTGATACCGCGGCCTACAAAGGCACTACCTTTTCGTCCTATCTGCTTACCTACCTGCTACAACTTGAACCTGGCCTGCATGGGCCTCTTTTTCTCTGAGCCACCCACTGCGGCTACAACTTCCACAGGTTAGTACCAGGCCAAAGGGCCATTGCATCCCATGGGCCATCATCAGCGGGTCATACACACTCACGAGTTCTCAGTCAAGCGGGTCCCACACGTGGTACATATCGGCAAGCACTCAGAAAACACAGAACATCACAGCAGAACACAGAAATCTCAGCAAATCAGTCGAGCAAGCAGCAATACTCAGAAAATAGCGGATTTCACAGTTTGCAATTTTTCAGGTCATCACATCGAGAAGAAATAGGCTTGTAGCGCCCACTTAGATTTGCTCACCGTTCTTCCCATCGCGACTGAAGTCTTCACCTGAATAGAACACTGGTCATTATTGCTAAATTTGGGCCAACTTCCAGTCTCGGTGCAGATATAACGACCTGGCGTTCCGTTCTGGTGAAGACCATAGGAGACTCAGCATCACAAGGGGGACACATGTTAGATGTTGATGAGCAGATCATGAGATCAAATCCCAATGGATATGGTAAGGTTAGTATTGTTAGGGACCACTGCACACCTCTCAGCTTGGCGGAGACCATGATGGGCTGTTGATGTTGCATCTGAGATGAACGACATCCCTTTTTCATTTTCTACTTTTTTGAGGTGAGCTGCATCTGAGCTATTCATCCGTTTTAAAAAAACTGTGAAAAAGGAGTGCATTCCCATATTTTGTTAATAAAAAAGCAGACCTTTGTCTGTTGCCTCTGTTTCTATCAGACCTGTTGAATCAAGGCAAGGAAGTGGATGCGTGTCTGTTTTCTCCTTTCATAGAAACAGTTGTTTATTGCACTTGTTTCTTCTAGGGTATGGTTGAGTGACTGTCTGTTTTACGAGTCTTCTCTGTCGGCTTTTGTCCTGTCGTTTGCTAAATGCCTTTGTTGAAGATGATTTGGAAATATCTTTTTCCACGTGTGTCATGAGGAGTTCACATCTTCGTCCCTGTCATCTGTTCTCATGTGCTCTTGTCCTCCTCGTGTCTTGCGCATACCTTGCAGGGTTTCGCCATTGTGTCTGCACTCATTGTGACCGGGATTGGTCAGGTTCTGATAGATGGTCATTTACCATCTCCATACGTCTGGGTATCACTTCCGCTTGTGGTTGGCAGCACACTGATTCATACTCGATACCCGTATGTGAAACAAGTGAAGACGGTATAGCAGCCAAGCGTCGAGTGACTGTTCTCCACTTGGAGGTGAGATGCTACTATCAGATGGATCACGATGACTCCAACATCACAAACATCACTGTGAAGATGTAAGGGGCAATTTGAATTGCAGAGTTGTGGGCAACTGTTCGCATCTGATAACTTTGTTCTTGGAAGTTTTTCAGTGGACCGTTCGGTCCTTCGATCCCCGACATCCTGTTCATTCGCCGAGTTGCAATCAGGAGGTTGGCAGGTCAACGGTGACCATTCGGTCCTTCGATCCCCAACATCCTGTTCATTCATGATGTGTGACATTTCTTCCAATTCTGCGGACTCCGCGGGATGCCATTCGTCAATAATGCAACTTGGCCTCTCTCTCTCTCTCTCTCTCTCTCTCTCTCTCTCTCTCTCTCTCTCTCTCTCTCTCTCGCTCGCTCGCTCTCTCGCTCTCCCCCCTTCTTTCTCTCTCTCTCTCCCCTGTCCACTTCCCCACCCTCTTCCTCTCTCTCTCTCTCCTTCTTGTTATCTGTCTTCTTCTCTTCTTCAAGAAGGGAAGAACAATGGGCTGGCCCAAGTTCCAGTATTTGCAGAGATGAGGCATGCTGGAAATTGTTGATGGTTTTGTYGATGCCTTGAAAGCCAAGTTTGACCCGTACGTTCTTCTGAAAAGAAGCCAACACTCTCAGTTTGTTGGATGTGAACAGCTGATAGTGTGTCACCCAGTTTGAACCTCACGCAGAGGGAATAAATTCTTCGGCACCACTTCGGACTCAGGCTCATCTAGGGGCATGGATGGTATCCTCCTGAGTACTCAGCCGAATCTGTGCCAGGGCGCTCTGCCGAATCCGCTCCAGGGTGCTCTCCCGAATCCGCTCCAGGGCGCTCTCCTGATCGTTTATGCCACGTTCCACACTGCAAGGCCGGGGAGGATGCAGTAGATTGTGACTCATGAACGGTGTCATGAGGGGATGGGAACACTCGACATGTCGTTGCGCTCACTCATCTCTGTCTGTATTCTATTTGGACCAGTGTGTTGGTTCTCTGTGAGCAGATGACGAACAGGGAGGATGCGCTCTTGGACAACGTCTGGAATTTTGTTGCCTGTTTGTGTCCTGTGTGGAGTTGTGTAAATTGCCAGAGATTGATCACCATTTTTGGAGGTTCTCTCGGGCTGGAGGAGAGGAAGAAAGAGTTATGGGACTGGGCCGTCCCGTGCCAGAGATCTGATCGTCATTTTTGGAGGCTCTCTCAGGCAGGAGGAGAGGGAAAGAAAGAGTTATGGGACTGTGCTGTCCCTCGTTCATTTTTTGTTCCACAGCTTGTTGAATAATGAAGCATGTCGCATTCGTGTTCTTCTTTGCGGCAGCTTTTTGGTAATCATGAAGTTTTCGTTACGGGCTTCGCAAGTCGTTATCTTGAGACTCAAAAGAGTTTGGTATCCTTTTTCTGCATGCATTTTTCATCCGAGCGTTTCCGTGCTGCCGATCCTCTCCCTCTGCTTTGTCCTCTTTCTTCTCTTTCCCCTGCCCCTCCTCCTCCTACTCCTGCTTGTCCCCCTACTCTTTTGTGTCATGCTTGTTGCCCCCCCTCCCCACCGCGATTCCCCCCGGTTGCTGTGCAATCCGACCTCCCTCCCGCTGCATTCCCCCCCACCACTTTGCACCCAACCCATATCCCCCCCCCCCCCCCCAAAAAAAAAAATCTAGAATTCCTAATTGGCCCTATTACCCCTATCATACTATTCGATAGCCCACATAGCTAGGATCGCTTCTCACTCAATTTACCTTTTTTTTCCCCAAATACAAATTTGAATTTTTATCAATTCATTTCTGAATTTAATTACCTTAATTTGGAATTTGCTTTTTTTTTTTTTTTTTTGATATCTCAAACTTTTTACCCACCTCACTTTCCAATTACAAATGATATTTGGCAATTAGTCAAATCTCGTGAATTTTCAATCTTTTCGTTTAATTCCTCCTCCTTAGAAGTCATCAATTATTAATTCGAAATTAATTCGGAACTACTTTTGAATTAATTTGGAAGTTCAATCTCTTTCCATTTCTACTGTTAATTCTTTTCGAATAAACTTAATTAATCCGTGATTAATTTAATTCAAAAATACTCATAAATTAATTAATTCGGTTTTGAAATTGTGTTGGTAATATGAAAATACCTTAATTAAATATTTTTCGAAAATTTTCCTTGTTAAGTCAATTATTTTTTAATAAATTTAATTAATCCACATCCACATTAATCTTTTTTGTTCGGAATTAATTATGCTTTTCTTTTGGTTGAAATTTTAACATCTTCCGTTTGTAAAATTCCTGCCAAATATCTTTTTTTTTTCATCAATTATTCTTGAAAAATTCAATTAGTTAATTGTTTTTTTTTTCCATTCGTTTTTCAATGAAGCTTTCAAAATCCTCTTCATTTTGTAAATAAAAGCTTTCAATCCCCCCCTCGGGCATGCCACGCCAAACCAAGAACTCTCAGCGCGTCGCTGCTGATGCCGCCGCCGCTACCGCCACTGCAGATGCCTCCACGTCATCACTGCCCGCTTCTCCAGCAACCGCCACCGCCCCGGCCGTTTCCTTGGCGATGGCCGAGGAATCGCATCAACATGTACTCCATCAACAACCAGTCTGTCGATAGCCTCCGTCGCGAACTTACTGGCCAACAGGCTCCTGCCCAGGAGGCCCCCGCTGACTCCTCCACCCTTTTCTCCCTCATGAACACCATGAAGGCCACCCTCGACTTCCTCCAAACGTCCGTCTCCGGCCTTTCCGACCCGATAACCACCATGGAACAACAGTACGCCGCCTCCACCATCCAGGTCGTCACCACCTTGGCCCCCTCCTCCACCTCGGGCTCCGTCACCCTTCCCCCACCCATCTACACCACGTACCTCCTCGTCCACATCCACCTCTCTCTGCCAGCACGTCATCCACACCCCTGCCTTCATCCACCACCACCTCCACCAATGTCATCCCACCTCCCCTCTCGCTCAAGACGACAACCCCCGCCGTCACGCAAATGTCGACCATTCCCCCCACACAAATGTCGACCATTCCCCCCAATTAAAACCTCTCTTGACGTCCTCCACTATCACCTCCACCCTCCCCACCTATACCCAGATCGCTCCCTCACCACAAACTCTGTACGCCGCTCTTCCACTACTTCCCCCAAACGCTCTCATTCCCACACTCCACCAACGATTTCACCAGGATCGCTTCTTCCCCCCCTACCCTTGACTTCAATGCCCTCGCCGCTACGGCCCCTCCAGCATTCCTCGCCGAGATCCCCACCTTCTCTGACCAATACCATGAGGACGTCTTCCTCTTGCTTACCAAACTCCAACAAGCCTTCTCCCTCCATAACGTTCCCATCATCCAGTGGCTCCCGATTGGCGGCACCAAACTCCTGGAAGGCGCCACTCGCTGGTGGTACACAGAAATGTCCAGCTGCCATCATGCCAATCTTCCACCTCACTTCTTTCTTGAGTGGGCCACCATGATCACCTCCACCTTCCGTCCACAGAAAACAGTCGACGACTACCTCGACCAATTCTGTCGGCTCTGCCAAACGGGCCAACGATCGTTTTGTTCAATATGTTCGCTCGCTTCGCCAACACATCCCCATCCACGTCATCAGCGACACCGCATTCATCTCCCGTGTCAAGCGGGTATGCCGCAAGGACCTAGCGGCGGCCCTTGGCCACGAGCCTTCCATGACTCTCGCCGACCTCCTCGCTCGTGCCCTCCAAATCGACCACCTCCTCCCTTACAAGGCCGCACTCACATCGGCCCCTTCCTGCCCCTGCTTCTTTCATAGCATCACCTCCAAAGGCACCACCTCCACCACTTCCTCAGACAAGTTCTCCACTCCCGACCTTGACACACTTTCCGACTCACTCGATCCCTCTCGCTCACCACAGAGGAACTCAACACCATCCAATTTATGAGGATGGAGCGCAAGAATAGCATTGCTTGAGCTTCCTCATCCACCCAGTCTCCCCGCATCAAGAAACTCACACCGGAGGAACGCACCTACCTCCAAGCCATTGGTGGCTGCTTCTGTTGCCGGCAGTTGGAACACCAGCAAACAAACTGCCCCAACGCCGACCATTTCACTTGACAGGCACCCCGGTCCGCGGCATCCCAACCCCCCCCACCGTGAGATCCGGTCCCTCCTCGACATGAACACAGTCCCCTAAAATGCCGTGATCCCCACAAGATATCGACGATTAGTCTGCCGTTCCCACCATCGATGACAACTTCCTTTCCACCGATGGCCCATTTGGCATCGACGAGCCGTCTGTCTACCCCTCCTCCGGTGACGCATATCCCACCGGACGACCCCCAGGCATCGCAATGCATTTTGCCTGTTGCCCCCCCGGACGACGTCCCCCGTTCCGTCCGTCGAACTCCCTACTGGCACGTGCTCGTCCACTCTTCTTTCTAATCCCTCTTCCTATGTTGTTGAGGAACAAGCCCGACATGATCGGCTTGTTAGACTAGGTCTGGAGCAACGCCGCCTCAACACCATGATCTCCTCTGCTTGTGCCGGAACCGCTCAATTCCAACTCAGGTTTGTCTCCGTCTCTGTTGGCGCAACTACGATGAAGTTCTGGGGCAACTTCATCACCGACGCCTGTGTCTGCAAAGTCGGTCTCTCTTCTACCGGCTACGACTCTCGATTACTACCCGAGTTGGGGACAAGGACTAAGTCGTCATTGTCGATCACACTATTCCCGAGATCACCATGACTGTTGGTCTTCTTCGCAGTCAGAGCTCGTTCGATGTCATGCACCTCATGTGCGACATCATCCTGAGAACCCCTTGGATTGACCATTATATGCCCTACTCGTTCCATCCATCATTCTTCCGCCTTAGGTCTCCCAACGCTACCCTCGACATCCCTTACCCTCTTCCTCCTCCTACCACACCCCCTGTCTCCCCTCATTTGTTCCTCCGCATGACCCGCCAATATCCCGACTATGCCTACAATTGCCTCCTCATTGATCGTAACCGTCCCGAGGACATGCTTCCAACGGACAAGCCATACCAAGCCCCTCCCGACCCACACATCACTTCCCTGCTCACGGAGTTAAAGGATGTCTTTCCCGAGTCCTTGCCTGCCGGTCTACCCCCCGACCGTGGAGTCTCTCACACCATCGATCTGGAACCCGGCCACACTACCTGTCGGCCACCATACCAACTCTCCGTCCCTGAGGCCAAGGAAATGAAGCGACAACTCTATGGTGGTTATCCGCTGGAAAGGTCGGAGAGGGACGTTTGGAGGGAGTGGAGGGGTGGCCTTCATGGTGGTCATGAGGGAGAAGAGGGTGGAAGAGTCAGCGGAGGCCTCTTGGGTCGGCAGCCTGTTGGCCAGTAAGTTCGCGACGGAGACTATCGACGGACTGGGTGTTGATGGAGGACATGTTGATGCTAGATTCCTCGGCCATCGCGAAGGAAACGGCCGGGGTGGTGGCGGTTGCTGGAGAAGCGGGCGGCGATGAGGTGGAGGCAGCTGCAGTGGCAGTAGTAGGGGCACGCTGAGAGTTCTTGATTTGACGTGCCATTCTGGGGGGGGGGGGGTGAAGAAAATGAAGAGGACTTTGAAAGTTTTGTTGAAAAATGAAGGGGAAAAAAAAGAAAGAATTAATTCCGAATAATTGAAATTTTCAAGAATAATTGATGAGATTAAAAAAAAGATATTTTGCAGGAATTTTACAAAAGGAAGATGCTAAAATTTCAAAAAATAAATCAAGGATCACTAATTCTGAATAAAGAGATTAATCATTAATGCCGACGAGGATTAATTGAATTTATTCAAAGATAATTGAAGAGTTCAGAAGTACATTTGACAAGAAAAGTTTTCGAAAAAGAATAATTAACTGTTAAGGTATTTTTGAATTACAAATTTTTGTTTAGAAACAAATTAATTAATTCAGAAGTGCTTTTGAATTTTTTAATTCAATTTAATTGCGGATTAATTGAGTATATTCGAAAAGAATTAACAGTAGAAAGGGAAAAAGGTTGAAATTCCAAATTAAGTCGGAAGTAGTCTCGAGTTAATTTCAAATTAATAATTGATGAATTCTAAAGAGGAGGAATTAAACGAAAAGATTGAAAACTCATGAAATTTGACTAATTGTCGAATATCATTTGTAATTGGAAAGTGAGGGGAGTGAAAAGTTTGAGATATCAAAAAACTATGTACAAAAAATGCTGCAAATTCCAAATTAAGTAAAGTAAATTCGAAAATGAATTAATGAAGATTCAAATTTATATTTGGGAAAAAAGAGTAAATTGAGTGAGAAGCGATCCTAGCTATGTGGGCTATCGAAATAGTATGATAGGGGTAATAGGGCCAATTAGGAATACTAGATACTGGGGGGGAGGGGGGGGGAGGAAGAGGGGATAGGGGTTGGGTGCAAAGTGGTGGGGGGGAATGCAGCGGGAGGGAGGTCCGGATTGCGCATCAACGAGGGAAATCGCGGTGGGCTGGAGGATGGAAAGAAAGAGTTATGGGACTGTGCTGTCCCTAGTTCATTTTTTGTTCCACAGCTTGTTAAATAATGGAAACATGTCGCATTCGTGTTCTTCTTTGCGACAGCTTTTTGGTAATCATGAAGTTTTCGTTACGGGCTCCACAAGTCATTTTCTTGAGACTCAAAAGGTTTTGGTACCTTCCTTCTGCATGCATTCTTCATCTGCACGTCCCTGCTGCTGATCCTCTCCCTCTGCTTTGTCCCCTTGCTTCTCTTTCTCCCCTCCTCCTCCCCCTCCTCCTCCTCCTGATTGTTCTCCTACTCTTCTGTATCCTGCTTGTTGCCCATCCCCCTGCCCCCACCCACCCACCCTCCTCTGCCTTCTCCCTCTTCCCCGTCCTCCAGCTCATCTTTGTCTCATAACGCCAGCCCCCTCCTTCTCTCCAATCACTAGTACTCCTCAAGAGGTTTCAAGTTGTCCCTGTTTGCACTTGCAGTATTGTGTTTTTTGTCTGTTCATCACCTCTTTGTTCCCCGCGTATCAAATTATCAGTAGCCCACCGGAATTCTTCTCTGTGGTGGTTGTTTGTTTGAACATTGCAATTTTCTAGAGCTCTTCACATAGCCCGCTTTGGCCAAGACTTCTTGTTCTTGTTTGCCTTTCTGAGTCCAATTTGCTGTTGTTTCACTTTGTTGGACCCCTTGTTTGCCTTCTTGGAAGCCCGTTCACCCGTTCACCCGTCCCAAGTATCCTTCTTGGAAGCCCGTTCACCCGTCCAGTCTACTAAAGTGCCAGATATTATTGATGCTGGTTGCCATTTCTCTCGTAGCTTATCCGTCATTTTTACTATTGCCGGGGTTGGCTTGGTTGTCCGGGTGGCCCGGCCGGGCAATGGACAGAGGAGGTCTCTGGGGGGGGAAAAAAAATCCAGAATATCTGGAAAAAAAACTATGTTCTGCAGAAAAATAAGGGGGACAACCTTTTTTTTTTTTTTTCTTTTTTTTTGAAAACGGACAACATTTATAAAAACTGGGAACCGGGCCGAGCGTCCGTCACAAAATTAGGTGGGGCCCTCGGCGGGCAAAGCATCACTGGCGAAGCACATCGAGGGCAGCCAACTCCACAGCCAAATCCACAGCCCCTAACACTGAAAAATCAACGAAATTTGTACTCAACATACTAGAGTTTAGAAAATAACAGGAGGATATATGTATTCCCTCTCTGCCTACGGTTTACTGGGCAGCTCTGTTGGACAATATATATTCAGCCTCCTGATGAGTCGGTGAAACTCCGACGAAACAGTTTGTCACAGCCCCTCGTTTGTTGTCCTCTTCTCCCTCTCTGCCTACGGTTTACCGGGCAGTTCTATTTGATGATATATATGTATATATATATATTCTTTTTGAGGATATGTATATAGGGTTGGTAGAGTTGGGACATGGGAGCCTCTATTCTCGCAAGTTTGACAAGCACTTTTTCATGACCCGGGGATCGATTCCTCTAGGCAAGTCTTTGGGGTTACTGTATAGAATTCCAACCTGACAGTTGCCTGGGTGTGCCTTTTCCACTCACTGATTTTTCTCCACGTAATGATTATGTTGTGAGAGAGAGACAGCTGAAAGAAAACAACATCACTTAAGAATGAATTTCACCTGAGGACCAACCGACACCTCGCTTACCTTGATTTTCCAGTTTTATCATCTACTGAGCTTGCCATCTATTATCAGCACCGGGAGGGACAGCGTTGTGTGTGTGTGACAGTTTGTGGCAGTGTGTGGGGGTTTTGTACGTGTGTGTGTGTGTGTGTGTGTGTGTGTGTGTGTGTGTGTGTGTGCATTGCTACCCATGGCAAAGCAGCAAACCAAAGAATACCATGTTGCCCACGAAACACACCTCATCCCAATCTGACTCGCTGAGTCCGAAAAGAAGATCATTACGGAATCCAATCTGTCGACGACCTACCCACCTGCAGAGAATCTGGAATATATATATTCTTTTGAGAACAACCCGAATGAATCCTAGGGGTGCTGATGGGAGCAGACACCTGTAGTACTGTCGGGGAGGCTCCATCAGTTGGTGGGGAGCATCACCTGCTAGAAAACGGGTCCAGCGTCCCTTTCAAGAGAAAAGAAATTCCTGCAAGTACATAACCGGCAGCAGATCTGA